TTTTCTCAGTCAGTGGTGTCATCATAGTATCAATTATATCCCTTACCGTGTGCTTCATTTCGCGCGGACGTCACCAGCATTCTTCAATCACCGAGTTGAACAAGTGACTTGATCACAGTGTGAAAACGTAAATGCCTCAGAGCCTTTCCCTCAAACTTTTTATGTCATAATATGAAGCATAAATCAATTTTTAGAGAATTACTACCTGGGTTCAATCTTTGTCGTTTTCACTGCAACGAGAATTATGCACGATCAATTTTAAATGATGGTATTCTTTTTCTTTATGGCCATTGATATCCCAAAGATGTGCACTCTGCTAAAGCTATAGTATTATACCCATTCTTGTAAGGATTTGCTGCTTAATCTTTGGGTTGGAAATATCTCGTAAAGTCCCACATAGGATTTAGAGAAAATGAGGACAAAACTGAAAGGAAAGACGACAATGAGATGTTTATATTTGACCCTCATAGAATTAATGTTAGCCTCCTCAAAGGTTCACTAAATGATGATGCAGTTTCGTTCAACCATCGGAAAGATAGTGGTCTTAAATATTATCCAAAGGAATTAACTATGTCCTTTCTTTAGACTTCACGATCAGGGTCAGGTTTATTAGTCAGGCCGGTTAGTTTCAAGACCAAAATGTTACAATATAAAGCTTCAACACCTATATTAAGTAATTTACACCAGCTTCCGCTGCCCCAATTTACCAGTGGGAGATAATAACATTACCACCAAAATATTTTGGTTTACGACTATAAAATAAAAGACAAAAGACATGTTTTTTATCCATTTTGTTGTTGATGTTTTTGATAGTTTTCTCTTCATTTGTTTTCTTGCTTTTTCGATTGTCGCGGTTTTTTTTCTTATTTGTTTGGTTTTTGTTTTGTTCCTGTTGCTTTTGTTTTCATTCTGTTTATTCTGGTAACATTTTAGATACAGCCCTGGCTTTCCCCCCACAGAAAAGCTCTCTAGGAATATGATTTTCATTATTTCTGCTACGCTATTTTCTTTTCTTTTTTCCGATTAGGGTAAAATTTTTACAAGGATTTAACGCTTGTTCCAAAATTAAAGACTTTCAAAACCCTTTCACTCCAGTGGTGATCAGTAATAACATCTCCTGGCATCTCTAATATCTTGACAACAATACCAGTCTTGGAAACTGAGAACGTTACCATATCAACTAAATTATATTTGCCGAACAAAAAAACAGATTCCGAAAAAAAAGTTGTTCGCAATCAGTGGACTCATCAAGAAGAACTAGTGTTTTCATGATCTAGACTGGTTGTCAGTCTTCTGTTAACTTGCTGATATAATGGGAACGATCAATCACAGCTTACGTGGAATTTTAGTTCAGAATGCACTATAAATCATAACCTTTTGCA